CACGTGGTGATGAAAGAGAAAATTCCATATATTCCACCCCACTTAAAAATCGACTAGGAAGGAGGAGATACAATCGCAAATCCAGGTGGGGATGAATTATTGTCCGCCAAATTTTAGTTCGGCTGCCACTTGTATTAAGTGTTTGTCGAAGTAGAAAACGTGAAAAAATCAACTATGCTCTTGCCTGGACGAATTCAAATTCCTTATCTCAATTACACTATGTACTTAAATTATAAAGGCTTTCAATTACATTGCGAAGGCACGCGGTAAGGAAGAAAATTTCTAACAATGTGAGCTTGAAATGATAGCCTCAGATGATGAAATGATAGTCTCAGATGAAACACAAATAATGATAACACAAGACTGAAATTAGAAAACATTTTGTAAGTTGAAGCTGCTCTAAATGCGATTTTGGACCTCGAATCCAAAAATAATGTTCAAAATTATGTACGCGCCTTATTTTCTCACAAAATGATTTTCGCATTTCTTGACCTTCTTTTACCAGGTTCTACATTTGCTAATAGTTTTATTTATATGATTTAGAACCTAAAGTACATTGTGTGTGTGGGGGGGGGGAGTGGGACAGTTAATATATCTCTCGTTCTACTGGGCCGATTGACGAAATTCAAATTGCGTTTTTATGTCTCGAAAGAGCGACTTAGGATATGAATTAGATTTATATATAGCGTTGTTCTAATACAGATACGAGTATTTTGACACAAAAACGGACTTTTTCCGAAATGACATGTCGATTTTTTTTCCATCTTTCGATTTTACGACTAAAATTATATCGAACTGCCAAGTTTTGTAAAAATCGTACGAGTAGTTTTTAAAAAATTAGCTCTCAAAATTTTAGCTTCTTAATGTTGATTGAATTTGATATATATTTATGAATATCTCTTTTTTTATTAAACTTATTTGATTCTTCGTTTCACATTTCGAAATTTAGGTTGATTCCGAATAAAATTCGCCCATTTTTGTGATTTATTTTTAAAATTTGTATTTTAAAATAATTTTTATAAATTTTTCGAAACATATTTTGAATTACAACCTATAAAATTTTTAATATCATCTTAATGTAAATGTATTTCTAAGAATACCTGCAAAAAATTAGTGTTTTGTATTCAAAATTTCCTAATATATACGCGAGTTTATATTTTGGCGCGTTTTGAAGTTTGGCGTATTTATTATAAGTGATAATAACGAAAATGTGGTTTACGCACTCTGTTAAAATTATTTGAAAGTACTTGACTGATGATGACTGTATGATGACTTTTCCTCGCTCGTGCACAAAGAAAAACGGCAAATGAAAATAGGTTGCTATAAATTAAAAAGTTCCCCAAATGAATTATTCTTGTCGAGATCTGATAAAAAGTTCGCCAAGACACATATTCAAATTTCTCCGTAAATTTCTCACCAAAAATTACAAAATTTGATATCTAGGCACAATTTGAGTCATAGAACCGAAATATGGAAAAAAATTGGTATGTTATTTCAGAAAACGTCCGATTTTATGTTAAAATACCTATTTTAAAGCTATGCTATATATATCTAATACACATCCTAAGTCGCGCTTGATAGACATGGAAAATGCAATTTGAATTTCGTCGATCGGCCCAGTAGAACGGTAGATATAGAACTGTCTCTTTTTTTTTCCCTCCCGTAGTGTACAATGCAACAATAAGGCAAGGAAAATGCAAGGCTCGTTGACTAAGACTCTTGATATTTGCTATATAAATAGTTGTATTTTTATATTTTCCTTAAATACATACAGTATTTTCCACTTATATAAAATTTTTTACAAAAGTATACACAGTTTTATTATTTAAGGCTTTTTTCTACCGAAGTCGATTCAGACCTTCTAAAAGAACACTGCATTTAAGGCTCTGCCTCTTAGGAAGACTTTTAAGCCATCAGCAGGTGATAAAAAGCTGGCCTATATTTTTTCGAGACTAAGAATCTTCAAGGGATGTCGAATTCCATTGAATGCTATCCGTGCATGATAAGAATTATTTATTCGTTTGATCTAACTATTGGTGGTTACATATCCTCCAGACGGTATAGTTGTTAGAAGAGCGAATTGCGATACCAAAGGGCCCGGATTCGAATCCCGGAGAAGGCATGGTTGTAAATGTCCGTCCCTTCAATAGCAGGCAAAGATGGCCCACCTATTAGGTGTATCCATAATAAAGTGACCACCACTTCTGGCCTTAGTAGTGGGCAAGCCGAAATTGGCTGAGGGCCCGCTATTGGTTAAAAAAAATACAAGCCTCCATTGCATTTACTATGTTATGTGATATTCTAAATGTTTCCTTTATAAATTTGATAATACTGAAATTAATTAGCAGAAATCCCCATAAATTGAAATGAATTACAAAATTACAAAACGTAATTAAGAAAAGAATTATAAAACATAATCTTCTATTCGAAATTTTTAGATGAATCATTTAGTTATATATGACAAAGCAACGAAAAGCTGATTTGTCTTCGAGGCAGATTTCTACATGTACAGTTTCTAAGGAAAATTAATTGGTATTTATGTTATATGTGGGAATCTAAGTATTCATGTAATTTATTATTTCATTTTATCAAACACAGAATCTGATTGATTAAATAATTAAATAAATGTGAATTTACCAACTGCGGAATTTTGTCATCTTTTAATAAAAGTATAAATTTCTCTCTCTGTGTTTGTATATGAACTTTAGCTACTTTTTCCCACTTAAATTGAAGATTCGTAAACTTATATTTTAAAAAGCTAACGAAGAACACCACTTCAGCTGGATCATTTAAAGCAACTTGCCTGTTATTAATGCAGTTAATCTCAATATTATTGATGTTAATTTGCTATGACTCCGAGAATCTATATATTTCTCCTACATTAAAGAAATATATCACAATCTTCTAGAACTTCCAGAGGCAATTCCAGATATGCTTAATATTTTAGATTATAATTGCTGGAACGGGTCTCTCAGTTTGTCCCTTTTTCATAAATATATCAAGTTTCAAAATAATCTATATCTACAAATCAACGATATCCATTGGGAGCCAACTACTCATCTGAGCTTTGTAAACTGCATTTATTTTCTAATGGAAACAAATATCTTCGTTCACTTCCATTTAATGATTTGCAAAAAAGTTAATTCACCTTCAGATATACTGATATGATATAAAGTCTGTCCTGAATGTATGAAATTAAACAAGATAAACTAACTGTGGATTATATTGATCTATGTATCCGCAATCTCCAGGATTTAAGACTTATGGAAAAAAAAAAAAAATTCAGTTTTGCAACTATTAAACTTATTAACTGGTACTCCAACATCTCCAAGAAAGTAATCACTAATATTATTCACAATCAATTTAGAAGAATTAAAAAATTTGAACTGAAGTAAAACAGAAACAAAAAGAAGTACACCGTGTTTCAAAAGAATATACGTATAGAATATACGTAATATACTTAAAAATAATACATACGTAAAAAGAATATACGTATGTGGAAGACATATTGAACATCTGTAATCTGAACTTGAGAGGTTCGTACATATGTGTGTAAAGTTTCATATTCGTATGTCATACAGTTTAATAAATATATGCATTCTTTTTGAAATATTCTTTTTGAAACACGCTGTATTACTACTTACACAAACTTTAAAAGATAAGCAGGTTCCACTAGCTCTCATTATATTACAGTAGTATCATTATGCTATATACATTTTCCAATAGAGAAATCCTTTATAAGTGAGTAGTTATTTATTTGCTTAAATTGCATTATTTTCTTAATCTCAGCTGCATTATTTTAATCTCAGCTAGCGCTGGATTTTTGTTTTGAAAGGCCTTATTTCGGAACAGATATATGAGATGAAGCAGACTTAGATGTAATGATATAGAAGCATTGATAGCATAGATGTAGAAATCTTGATCCATTATGAAGAGCCGCTTTGCAGCCGAGGCAAATTAAATATTCATCTCTGTTATAAAAAAAATGTGTTGCGGCCACAAACAACTTGGCGCGTTAGTCGTGCTTATTTCAAAACGTTTACTAGCTTTACAGTACGAAGAGAGCAACAGGCAGCAGCAGTCTCTCTAGGCCAAAGTGCAGAAATCAAATACGTTGTGTTTCGGATGAAATCTTAATTCGGAATGAGTTAGTTTCGGTACTCAGTGCATTTGACTGAGTGACTAAAATTACTGTAAAATTATTATTGGCTGTTTTTAATTCCATTTAAATCACCAGCGTTATGCAAGAGTCATATGCCATGGATTAGTCTCAATAACACAGTATAGAAAAAGATAGCTATTTTTAGAATAGAGAAGGGAAATAAACAAATTCAAACTAAGGACTAAGGGGCTATCTATACTGATATATAGATAGATAACAAATAAATAATATCTAAGATAGATAAAATTGATTATATATATATATATAATCATATATATATATATAATTTATTTCCTAAACCATATTGATTATTGATTATATTATCTCCTAAGTTTTTAGTAGAATAGTTAATTTAGTAGAATTATTTTAAAAGAGTTAATCCATACTGGTAAATTATATTTTGAAGATGTTTTGAAGTAACTTGAAAGTAAATAATAATGTTTTAACGGGGACTGGAATTAAATCATCATGAAGAACAAAATTAATATATATATTATATTATATACATCAATCAAAGATTTTAAGTAAACAAGGTAATTATTAGTTATAAATTGATTAATATTTGCTCTAAAGCTACTAAATAATAAAATTATAATTTATTTACTAGTAGATTATTGATAATATTATCTTCTTGGGAAATAACGTATATATGTACATAAACACACACGCATGGATTAGAAAATGTAAATATAAGTCAAAGAATGAAATGTTTGATTATCAGCAAATCAAGAGGAAAACTCTTTTACTCAGTTACATGCAAATTTTATGTGGTCAGTCATGGTATGCAGTCTCAAATGATATACCTAGATTCGGTAGATTTCTAAGTTGTAAAACTTACCGGAGAATGTCGTAAGCTTTGCCATGTGAAGTGGAGCTCGGAGATGTGGTCCGGAACCATGACGACAAATCCTAATGCGTAATCGTTGACAGTTCCATTGTTCACATACCGAAGTTCCGCGTTTAGACCTACAAAGGTAGAAAAGTAAGTAAGTTCATTTTACTTTATAATGACAAAAATTCAAAATTATCTTTTTTAATTATAATTACACAACAGCCTCTACTACCAGACTTCTCTGTTTTATCTTACATTCCACGAAAATTTAATTCATACTAAAATATTTATTTATTTTTATTTATTTATTATTATTATTACAAAATAACACGTTTGTATTGTTTGTCTTATGAGCTAAAATTTTACGAACAGTAACCCAGATTCTTAATAGCTGACTATTTGACTCTTGAATTGTGATAATAACTAGACTCGCGAACTTGATAGAATACATAAAATGATTTATTTAATGCATCTGAATACCTTTCTTTTCTTTTCTATAACATTTATATAGTGCAAAGCGTATTGCAATAGACATTAGAGGTGGATAAAACCGCTCTTTTATGGGATCAGACTAAGCCGTTCGGCTCATTAAACTGAAAAGTTTCTTTTTTACGACTCACCGCTCACTAACAGTAACCCTGATGAATAAGATGGAATACGAGGAGTGAATCAAGAGGGTATGTGCGGGTAGAGTAAAAAGCGAAAAAAATCAAACGAGGCCTGAAACTAGAAGAATCGACTCAATGGAACTGCTAATTTCCTGGATTGATTGCTTTCAACTGCAGTTCTGAGATTCCTTAAAAACTCCTTTCTGCAGAGAACTTAAAATAAAATTCTAGAATAATAAACATTCAGGAAGTTGAGAAAGTATAAAAATTAAACGCATTCTCATTTTTGAAAGCGAAACACTCCTTTCTAAACTGGAAAATAAACTTTCCTAACACGCTTCTAACAAAAGCTGTCGTAGGAGCTACCGCTCATTTTGTGGGATAACCATTCGCTCAGTCAGTAAAGTGAATCGGTTATTTGAATCAATTCGCGAGCGAATCTCTAATTTTCCTGAAATTACTCTCTAATTTTAATGATCAGTGTTTATAATTTGCACCAAATTTGTAATAAAATGATGGTTTTTGTTTAATGAATGTATTTTCATAACCGATACCAATCTTTCTGTATTATCCAATATTTTCTTTTATCTGACCACAGTTCAATCCTTTTTATGCTCAATAATTGAGATTATTCGTATTGTATTTTAATTCATAAAATTGTAAACAAGAAAAATTAACAGTTAACCAGCCCTTAAAACAAGAGTTAGCAGAAGTTATTTTATTATTGCTATTCGATGGTTACTGTATTTAGTTCAATATTTGTCTAGACTTTTATACTCACTTCATTACCTTTGCTTAAGAACTCTCATTATAAGAGATTAAGAACCTTTATTCTTTTTCACATGTGTAAATGTGACTGTCTAGACTACCTTTAGCTTCAAAACAAAGTTTTTCATCGTTTCACTTTATTGTTGAAAGAAAAACTTATAGCTGTTACTCAGACTGAGAATTTATTTACGGGTTCCAAATATGTAATTAATAAAAACTGCGCCAGACAAAATTTAATTATTCATAAAAGAACAATTTGCTTTTTGACGAGCCAGTCATCAAAGAATCTAAACAGCACTTTTCGCTTATGACTTTTTGACTCGTGTAATTATTATAGTTCGCCACTAGTTTACAAACGACTAGACAATATCAGTTTGTATGCTATATGTACGCTAGCGTCCTTTTCACTTTCACAAATGCTGACCTTCAAAGAATTGCTTTTAAAATAATGGCCTCTTCAGGTGACCAACAATGGAGTCGCCAAGAATAGAATAATGGGCTAATAAAGCTTTATTTTACACGGAAATATAACATTTATATAGAAGATGGGTGGAAACGCAATAGGAGATTAAAAACATCAATGAAATGAAATTTAACAGTGGCACGGGTATGGTGTGGAATGAATTTCTAAATAACTTCTTCTATATGCTACTTAAAGATACTGATAGTGTTTGACTGCCATCCATGTCAGAATGAAATAATAATTGTCTTTCAAGATGTGTAATAAGTCCCTCGTCTTTGTCAATAAATGATAACATATAAATTCCCCAAATGATACTTCCATTCAAGACCATAACATTATTATCGTTAGCATTAGTATTATTTCAAAAATAATTTTATCATCACGGATACTTCTTAAATGAATCTTAAATGAATGATTCTTAAATGAATCATACTTATAATAATGCTTCTGTCTTCAACTTAGAGAAACGACTCAATGGGCTCCGCCAGATCTCAGATTTTTTTAATATGGACAAGACGTCGGGAAAGTCGCTTTTACCTTGAGTCTTTACATTCCCCTTTCTTTTGCTTATTAAGTCATTCTGCTTCATATACCAGTAAAATTTTTATTTTATTATTGTTAGTAGTAGTACTTCCTGAAATACTGCTCACTTTAGCTTAAATATCGTGCTCGCAATTTAATAATCTCATTTCGCATAGCGATATAAATTTAAGCTGTTATGAACAATTTAAGATCCTTAACTTTAAGAAGCATATTATCTTCCTTTTATCCTTTAATAGTTCTCAGAACAGAATAGAAACTAAACCCTCAAAACAAAAAAAACAAAAAAAATATTTTAAAAAAGATTTAAAAAAAAGATTATTTATCATACCAACTGCACTCAATCAATCTGCCTGCAACGCCTCTTAGTAATCGAAGAATATAATATAATATCGTCTATGTATTCGGTTACATTTATTTCCGCTTTAAGAAATGATGGTTTCATTCCTTTTCGTTTCATAAAAGAGGAAGAGACGAAGTGGTTTATTACAGCCAGAATTTATTGAAATTTTCTCAGTATTTCTCACTATCACGCAGTTTCCATCTTTTTAGACACATTCAAAAAATCATATTAAAAAATTCCTTGTTATGCAAATTAAAAAGGATTTAATATCCTGAAAGGCTTTCTAGCACAATTCTCTCCGATACAGTATTCACTCTTTGTCCACTTCTTCAAATGGGCTTTCATCTCTTTTATTCGTCAATACGAAATCTTGCCAAACAATTATTATTGCAGCGCATTTTCGAGATAGTAATTTAAACAAAGCGACCACCCGGTGGCGCTGTAAACAATGTCCATTAATCGCTGCTATTTAAAACGGCAGAAACGTTTTATACGGAAGAAAAGCGAGAGAAAGAATAATGTTCATTTCCGAATGAGTGAAATTCCTCCCAGTAATTGCTGCTGCGGTAAAAGAATGAATAAGGTTTTTCTTAATTAAAAGAAAACGAGAAAATTAAAATTGAATTATGAGCGAGCAAGAAAGCGTTTGCAATAATAGGAAAAAGAAGCATATATTCAATAAATACTCAGGAGAGAGGAAATGAGAGCTAGAAGTTTTCTTATACCCACAAAAAATCGATATCTACCGATATATTTCATAGGCAAATTAGCTTTCTTTTTGCAATGATTATTATTGTGGAAGGTATAAAAAAGCTGTTTTGCTTAGTATTTTAGTGTTTTGCTTGTATGTGTAATTTATCAATAAATAAAATTTCTTTTTTGTTTGTAAAAAATGAAATTTTTTTGGTTTCTTTCCAAAAATGAGAAATATTTAAGCAACACAATTATGAAATATTTTTATTTGTTTATCGTATAATATTCCCTATTCTTCTTAGAGACTCTACATTGCTATAGAAACCCCTCCCCGCCCCAAAGAAAAAAAGAAAATTCTTACTGTGTTTGAGATTAATTTCCGTAATTCTGAACCGAAAGTTTTAATATTAGTTTCATCAATTTAAAATTAGTTGTTTGTGTTTTATTGATTTAATGAAAGAAAGCCCACTTGAACTGGTGCAATGAACATCAGAGATGCAGTTTAAAATAATAGGCCTCTGTTCTTTTCAGTAAGCAAAGAAGGTATAAATAGAAGAAAATGGAGCAATAGAATTTCAGCACTGATCACACAGATATACTCCCACCGTACTAACTGCGCAGTCCCACACCTATTTTGTAGAAAAACGGTGTCTTCCTGTTTCCGCAGTTGTAAAAAACGTTCCTATTTCCGCGAAATCATCAATCTTCATTACCCCCACTATACTCTGCCCCCCACTATGTAACCCCTTTAAGGGGTTACTTTAAAAATACTATTACTATTTAACCCCTTAAAGGGGTTACATAGTGGGGGGCGAGTGGACCTTAGCCTCTCCCGAAATGTAGGAAAGCAAAAATTTTTTAGCTTTAGAAAAATAAATTTTTAAAAGAAATAAACGAAAAATATTTACGATCTGAGATCTTTGCATGAATGAAGCTAATACTGTATTTCAAAGGAGAGAGAGATGTTCAAACTCTGCGATGATTTTGACAATGAACTAAAAGATAAATTCTTCCAAAGTTCTGCATAAAAGTGAGTTACAATAAAATCTTTCTGAATAAATATTCGTTTTTCTAAAACGACTTCTGCTTTTGTTTAAATTGCGTCTTTGCAACTTTTAATTCTTTCATTTATGCAAATGCAAATCCAATAAACTACATTTTCCTTATTTCTATTCCGAATTCGAATCTGATAACCTTTATAAAGGGCTAAAGATTTTTTCCTTTTAGTTTCAATAATGTCTAAAACATCCATGTTGATTAACGTAAGATGTGAAAATAACAACTACTATTGTAGCAGAATTACAGATAGAATGAAATGAAAGATTTCGACAGAAGCCTAAACTTAGGGAAGACTATCTTATTCACAAAGAAACTGCCCCTGGGAAGCTGTGGGAGGGGGACTGTACTCTCCGATTTCGCGAGAACAGGAAGAATTTTAAAAAACGCGGAAAGAGGAATCACAGAAACAGAATTATTTCTGTGATTAACAGAATAATTTCTGTGATTATTATTATTTACTTTAATAATCACAGAAACAGAATTATTTCTGTGATTAACAGAATAATTTCTGTGATTTTTATTATTTAATTATTATTTACTATTGTCATATATGACTTCAGTTTTTCTTGCATAATATTATACTAGATTTGTATTACTTGCATACCTGTTCAGTATTTCTCTTCGTATTATGATGCAATGTATCTCCTCAAACAAACACAT